TTCACAGTTCCACCGGTACTCAACCCTTGCGGCACGTCCATTCGGTGATCGCTGAGCAGCGAGCGGTGATCTTGCGACAGAAGCGGCAATCCTTGGCATCAGTCACAATCGGAACAGGTGCAAGAACCATTTTTTCGTCCTCATCACTATCCTCGTCGTCACTTGCCTCTAACATTGGGCGAATTTCAATTGCCACAGCATTGACAATGGGTATTCGTTCCGTAAAGAGCGTCCAATTTTCCGTTTGGAACCTGCACAACTCCAGGTTGATCATTTGCGGTTGTGACAGGGCAATAGAGCCACGAGGAATAGCCTCATGCGGCCGTACAGATACTACGAATTGGGCGTGTAGTCTAGGATGAAGTAGAGCTGCACCGTCGGTCCCTGTGGCCTCGGCGGGGAAGTCTTCTGGATGCACCAGAGCGCAATGACGCAATGATGTCAATTGCTCGTGGGCAATGTCCAGCTCGTCCAGCTCCTCGACACATAGTGAGCGCGTCCAAGCCGCGGCCGCATCCTTGGCACCTTGTTGCTGTTGCTTGAGACGGAGCGCCGCTGCCATGGCGGGCGCGCGGATCTCGCCCGCCGGGTTGTTGTTCGCGTTCCACGGCATCTTTTCTTCTGGTGGTCTTCTGTGTTTGTGTACGGCGACCACACAGATCTGCGACTTGTGCAATCGGATATGTACGTCGCCTTCAGCTCTACAGTACTGCATCGGAAGCTGGATCGGAAGTACGCTGGGCCATTCATTCTCACGCATCATCTTTCCTGAGCAGGGCCTTGACGCACTTTCGCACCTCGCGGTCAAACACCTTCACGGTTCCGCTCGACCAAGGCGTGTACGCAGTGGTGAAATGATGGTGGGTACCAAGTGCCACTCGTAGTAGGTCGATGAGTTGGTTCTTGAAAAGAGCTCACTGGTGCACAGCCCCATGGCGCTTAAACCAGCCAAGTAGGCTTGTGTAGACCTGGTCACTATTCGCGGCCACGCAGGTCACCAGCTCCACAAAACCACTACGCAACCCTTTAGGACCAAGCCGACAGCCGTAGTTCCTCATGGCGGCGTTGCAGGACTACGGCTTGTTAGCAAATTGGGTTTGCATCCGTGTAAAGGCACACCTTGTCTGGCTGCTTTGGGTTAGCGACCGGGCCAGTTTCAGCCGTGCGGCTCGCACCGCCACAAGGGCCGTCTCGTCCCCAATTCCAACCAGCATCAGTAAGCAGGCCCTTCGACAATCCCGTCTTCTTCTTGTTCCAGCTAATAGCATCGCTTGCTCAAGTGTGGCGGGCAGACGCTGGGTCAGCGAGTTATATTCTGCTGTATCCAGTTTACCGCACACAGGAATAGCTGTCGGTCAGCCAATAGGCGGGGCATTGACATACGTGCGATTACCTTACCGATCCCATATGGATTTCTTCGACCAGTTGATACTTCGGCCTGGGGTGGCCCACACCACCATGACGCTGCATCGTCGCTTGAACCGTCACGGTCGACGCCCACAGTAGGCCTGTCAACGTTAAGCCTCCGAGGCCCGTTTAAGTCACTCCAACGCGAACTGTTTGAGTTAAAGTTGGGTTTCTGCCAACTCATGCTCAACTTGTCCATATTTTTCCTTTACTTTATTTCATATAGCTGTCGGTGCAAGGTCTAAGACCGTTCGGTGGATTTGATCCAGTTTTTTGGGCAAGTATCCTTACATTCTTCTAAACAAATCCGTCAGTTACACATTTAATATAGTCTACGTCGACGAGGTCCATGTGCTTGTGGACCTCTTCACCTTCGCTTGGTCGGCGGCCGACGGCCACGGAGCCAGCGAGTGTGAGCGTCAGCTCACTTGGCAAAGTGAGCTCATCGCCCTCAAACTTGGGCCCCGGCGTGTTAGACACCATGGCGACATCCGACAAACCATCGTCGCCTACCGATGTGAATCGCCGTCTTTTTTCCATCAGCAAGAGCTCAAGCAACAAAAAGAAAAAAGAAACAACATTGAAGCGACGTCTAGGCCTCGGGTCATGCTCCGCTTCATGATGTCTACCACTTACTGCTTCTACTCTTCCGAGGCCGGTTGTTCAAGAGGAAGGTTCCCAACAAGTCGCCGAAGGTCTAGCTCAGCACTCCAACCCCGATGACCATGCTCTAGATAACGACGACCACGCCGAGCCTCCTCCCGATCAGTGCCCGAGACCACCAGTCCTGTTCGAAATTAAGGGCGCTCACAATCCTCACTGGTACAAGTTCGTCCGATTCGTGGCGCATAGTGACTTTGAAGGGCTGGACAAGGCGGAACTGGTCAGCGCGCACGCTAAGGCGGCGTACTGCACAATATGCAGCTCGCTTGTTGATTTCCGTATTGGCAGAAGCCGTGTGAAAGAGCATCTACAGAAGTATCATCAAAAGTATCTTAAAACGTGTGAAAACCGCATTACTATAGCGAAACGGCCGAAGATGACATTAGCGATGGGTCTCATCAAAGGGGCCCCTGGTGAGAAGCGGGAGGTTGTTCCAGTGACACCAGAGCAGCAAAGTCGAGCTAATCAATACTTAGTTCTTTGGCTTGCTACGAGCATGCGGCCGCTGGTTGAAGTGGAGGACGATGGATTTGAATTCGTTATTCATTTCGTTACTGAAAAACTTGGAGGAATCTCGTTGAAAATCCTCGGGAGGACACGTGTTCGAATGGATATCGTCGACATTGCCATAGAACGCCGGACAGAGCTCAAGGCAATGATGAAGAAGAACTGTCAATACTATGCCGTGACTACAGATATCTGGACAAGTCTAACTATGCAGAGTTATGCTGCTCTAACGCTTCATTACTTGGATTTAAAGTTTCGTCCTTGCAATTGGACTTAAGAAGTTGCTCATTTTCCTGGTCGTCACAGTG